ATTTAAGCTTTCGCATTGTCTGTGACACCATCTCAGATATCGTTTAGTTGCCCGTGGGCCCATCAGCAGTGCAATCCTTTTGTAGGTTTAACCCTGAAAATATCCGGAACATCATTGATTGTCAAAGCACCGTGTTGTCCACTTCGAGCTCACCTAGTGCAAGAAACTGGGCTTCATCTGGCTTTGCCGCAAGTCCTGTGTAGTTTTGTGTCCTGTCCTGAATCCTAGTTTCCGTTATACACAAACTAACCCAGGGGAGATATGTATGCTTCAATGATCTTATCAATACTGCGAGATGCTATTTCATGGGCCGATCGTCCAATCCAACAGTGTCTCCTTCCGGACACCTGCATACTGGTGTCCGTGTGTGAACAGGACCCCACAGTGCTGTTTTCGTAGTCGTTAAAAATAAAGAGCAGATAGACGAAGCTTGTACCTCCAGTTGAGAAATCCACTTAGCTATTCACTGTTTGTTTTGCAACCTCATTGACCGATGTCGCACACCTCTCAAGTCTGACCTTGCTTAGAGTTATCGAGTTCCGCGGTAAATCCTTTCACAATGGCATGATTTCAAAAGTTGGAGAGGGTTCGACGAACCACCACTCGCCCTGTCGCCGGGTTATGTGGATACTGTTACACTGAACGTTTGTAGGCTACAAACTGTTCCCGGAGGCATACACTGGAATTCGCGGTGACATAAGTGTCGTCTATTCGCTGCAGTGGAATGCGTCCAGAGATGCAGGAGTACAAACATGTAGCTCTAAGCTCACAGTGTTTAATTTTCCGCGTGACGAACTGTGTTCATTTTTAACCGAAATGCAGACATGTATGCTTACACAAGTTACAGAAATACAAATGCAAAATACGAATCGGTTTACCTCAGATGCACCGACTCGCGCGGGGCAACCAGCTCATACAGAACCCTTGCGGCTGATCTGGTGAATGAGGTTGATAATAGCTCTTTCAAGAGGAAAGTCGGCTGCTTTCTTCGAGAAAAGTGGTATGCAGCACCGAAATGAATGCAGATCCTGATTCAGTGCTAACGAGGCTTATACGGGAGGTTTCCCCTGTATCTATTTGAAGAGTGTCGTAAACAGTTTCGCTCATGCATCTCAAATGCTAAGCAACTTTAGTTCACCAGAATTCTCCATGTTCTCTACAACACTGCTTTCGACGTTCCGATTTTCCTTCTAAACCTTCTTCCAAATGGGCAACCATAACACATCAAAGAAAACGGATGTATGAGTTCATGATTACAGACTGAAACGTTGTGCTCCGAGCGCAACATTGCAAGAGCAGCATGAAGATTATAGCGTTGTGAGCGGCGTCAATCAGCGATTACCATGATCTCGGGGTCCACTTCTAGGGAGCTTAGCGGAGCCTATGTGACCCAGTGTCCTGATGAGAGGTATTATACCCTCTTGCTATGACTTAGCTCGAGCACCGAATAATCCCAGACGCATCCTGTTTACACAACCTATGGAATATCACCCAGCGTTTTATCAGCAAGGCTAAACAGCCAGAAGTTACAGGATTTTTAAAGCCAGGATCTCCTTTGCACTTAGCCGCGTTCAATGTTCGCACACTATCACATTGATCAACAAGTTGCCTTAGCTAGAACCCTTGAAACTTCCAATCTAGATGTATACTGTGTTTCCGAAACACGCATACAATACCGTACTTCAATCATCTTCCTGCGCTCTTCTAACCCAACCTGCACCTCATGCTTCATCCTGCGTGTGTCAGACGATTTGACATCTGAAGCTCGCGGTGTTGCTGGTGTTGGGATTGCGCTAAGTGCCAAGGCTGAGTGCTCGCTTCTTGACTGGATTCCAGTCAGTAGCTGACTGTGCGCAGTACGTCTCAACGGTTCACCACGGGTTAACAGCTACAAAATGAAGCGTCCATGTTCATTCGTCCTATCGGTGTATGCACCGACCGATTGCAGTACACCTGAAATCAAGGATTAATTCTACAAGGATCTCTCTCAATTACCCCAAAGTGTTTGATCAACGGAAATCGAAGTGGCCACCAAAGACTTCAATGCTCAAGTGAATCCTTGGACGAATCAGAAAGGATTCTTGGCGGACCGCATGCAATCCCACCCACCCGGACGGACAGCAGAGTTCGCCTACTTCAACTCTACGCGGACCACGGATTGTTCTTGTCACGCACAAACTCCTCACGGAAGCAACTACACCGCCTTGCATCGGAACCACTAATTTCGTCACTGCGCTGGACCCAAATCGACAACATTGTCATCAGTAACCGCTGGAGAGAGTCGATTCAAGAATACCTTTCTTACTTGTGAATACGCTGTTCACGCTGTTCTGCGAACCAACTTCTCCCTGTGCCTGACAAACTACCACAAAAAAGTCACCGACAACGGATTCCCACGATACAGCGTCAGCGATTTCTGCAAATTCTTCGAAGCGGCACTCTCCGATTGCCTATCAGCTCAATAACCGGCCGAGGGACTCAATGACCACTGGAAGCAAATCAAGGAAGCAATGCGAATATCAATAAAATCGACGTTGGACCCTTGCGTTGGTTCAAAATACAAACGATGGATTTCGTCGACCTCGGCTGCCCTGCTGGACGCCCGCAGAACCCTGCCTCCGGATGCCACATATGACACAGCGCGCAAATCCCTTAAACACCAGCTCATCGGGAATCTGAGGAATGACTGCAAGAATTGGTGGGTAGAGAAATGTAGAGAGGCGGATAAGGCTGCGGCTATCAGCAATGGTCGCAATCTTTTCCGTCGAATTAGGAATACAGGTCCCACTAAAGTAGGTGCAAGTGAGATAATTAAGGAATCTGATGGTGCACTGATTCACGATCAGCAACGCCTTCTTGATAGATGAGCTGAACACTTCAGGGCTCAGTTCAACTGGCCCCCTCGACATCTAATCTTTCATCCTCCATCTTGACTGGGCAAATTCTGCCAGTTGATTCCAATCCTCCATCTCAACTGGAGGTATCTCGGGAAATAAGTTATCTCAAAAGGCATAAGGTTTCCGGCCCCGACAGGCTGTCCCCATCGGTCTTTAAGGATGGAGGTTCAGCCTTGGTTTTGGAGTTGACAAAACTTCTGGACTCATTAGGGGAGAGGGAAGAGGTTCCAACTGAATGGTGTGAATCGGTAATCATTACCGATTTACAAGAAAGGCGACAGGTTCTCCTGTGAGAACCATAGAGTAATTAGTTTAATGAACATTGCCTCTAAACTTCTCGCCGGTATCATACTCCTTCGATTGTCCGCCGCATGTGAAGAGCTCACGCGTGAAAATCAGGCTGGTTTTAGACCCGGTCGAGGTTGTATTGCCCACATCTTCACCCTCCGTTAAATTCTGGAGCATCGACATTCTTTTCGTAGACCCACCATCTTTGTCTTCCTCGATCTGAAAACGGCTTTGGACTCAATCGACCGCTCTAAACTCTGGCACTACCTTTCCCTGAAGGGTGTGCCCGAGAAGTCTATTTCAATATTACGATCCCTCTATACTCGAAGCCGAAGTTGAGTCCGAGCTTATGGTACTTTTTCGTCCGAGTTCACCACGGAAAGTGGTGTTCGTCAGGGTTGCCCTCTTTCTCCTTTTCTATTTGACTTTGTTATAGATCTGATTATGGAAACAGCCCTATCCTCGTGCGAGGATAGTGGCATAGATGTAGGGCACTTTTTCACCCGAGTACACCACGGAAAGTGGTGTTCGACAGGGTTGCCCTCTCTCTCCTTTTCTATTTAACTTTTTTATAAATTTGATTATGGAAACAGCCCTACCGTCATGCGACGATATGAGCATCGATTTACTCCCAGGTGTCAGATTGTCTGATCTGGAGTATGCAGACGACATTGTGCATCTAAGTGAAGACGCAGGTAAGTTGCAAG